TGTATACGTATACATATACATATATATGTATATGTATATGTGTGTGTATGCATGAAATTAATCATCTAAATTCAACAATTACTGCCATTATATTTCGGTTTTCCTTTAATTGACTGATGTTCTAATTGCTCCATTAATTGTCCCATTTTACAACAAAAAAGCCATTAACCAGAAAATATATAATATATAATATATGGGTAGCGGTACAATATATAGAGTGTAACTATATAACTTTAGTTACACATACCTGTCAAAATACACATTTGCCCATCTGTATTGTAAATCAAAGCCATCCATTGTTATCCACATAAACATGTCATCAAATGTAAATGGATTAAAAATCATGTGATTTAGAATTTTATATCTTATAATCAAAGCAATTAAAATATAATCAATATCTGAGACTGTTACAGATCGTTCATTAGATGTATAAACTAGAACTATTTAATCCATGTGATTTTTAATCTCCATGACGTTTCGATGCATAGATCAACTAAGTTAGTTACACCCTATGTGTGTGTGTATACGTATACATATATATATGTATATGTATATGTGTGTGTATGCAGGAAATTAATCATCTAAATTTGTGGTCGATGGAATTTGAACTTGGGCTGCTCTGATACTATCTTAAAGTCCATGTGATCATTACACCAGAACTCCGAAGTTGTGATGAGGGTTAATGGTTATAGTTTTATCCAAATCCATATAGGGAGGTTGTCGCGACGAGCAACTAAGGTCTAGTTAGCGCACATGTGGTTGAAACATCATGTGATTTTGGTTTAGATTAGTCAGCCGAGTATCCATGATTTCTCATGAATGATTGAAGCATAATTTAATTGGAAGGATATGACTTATTCCGAACATCTCAAGTATTGGATCGATCAATCTCGGTCGAGTGATTTAACTAGAGTTTTTCCCCCTCAAGCATCAACTATAGGCACAAAAGGAGATCGGCAGATTAATTTACGCCGGAGAGAGATGAGTTTGGGTATAGATATTATTAATCCTTTGAAATACTAATTTATTTCAGGTCTTAAAAACTGTTATCTCCCTTGAAATGAGCAGCTCACTAAGTGTACTATCCATTTTGTATCCATTTGATGCATAAGCAAAAAAAAAAAAAATTAAAATTAAAAAAGAAGAAGAAGAGGTTAATTAGCTAGATAATCAATCGATTTTTCATTTTTAGACACTTCGAAGAAATCAGATCAACACATGAAAATGTAGGATTTTATCCTGATGTTCCTATCATCGTGCTTGAACAATAATCATTAATCTGCGTCAAAATCCTTCTCCAAAAGAGTCAACGTATGTCATTCTTGTAGATTATATTTTTGCTAGCGAAGGCCATCATCAATGTTACCACCAGTGGAAACTAAGCATGAAGCACATGGAAGAAGTTGCTTTCATTTATGAATCGATGCCTATTGGCTGATTTTTTTTTTTTTCCATTTATGCTTGCGTTATGGACGCCCATTTCTATCGGTCAGAATCTAGTGTTTACCCAATAACGCCCCCCAAAGGTAACTAGAAGGTACCTCTTGCAAACTCACCAAACAAAGAGGGGAAGGGAAAAAAAACACAACAAAGTATATTTCATAATCAATTCTAAATCGGTACAATCAATAATATTATTTCAATTGGAATATTATAAGATTACAATCTCCCATGATATATCAATAGAGCTTTGCTACAGGGACCCAAAATATGGGACCAATAAAAGGGACAAGTGAGATGTCCCCCTCCTATTGGATAATGAGTTGGCCATCATTAATGATGGCCAACTCATTATCCAATAGGAGGGGGATACCTCACTTCTCCCCGCTATTGGTCCCATATTTTGGGTCCTTAAAGAATTTTTCATATCAATATTGCAATCAGAGCAGTAAACCATGCAGTTACCAATGTTAAAATCTCTGTTGGATTTTTTTGCCCCCCTTCTTGAGTGAGCTAATTAGCTCTAATAGTTCCCTTAAGAGGAGGAGCAGCGGTCAGAATCATGGAGCAGAGGCACGTGAGTTGATGTTATTCTTTCTAGTACTTGTCATTAAGAATGTCACATCCCCTTCAATTCCTCCCCCCACCATCCCCCGTGCCTTGTTTCCATCAACTCAAAAATAAGAGATGAGAGAGAAACCGTGCCTAGAGAGAGAGAGAGAGAGAGAGGTCTCTTATTGATTCAAGACACGAGTGGTCCTTCTTTAGATCCAACCTAACATTGTCATCTCTCAACGAAGACCGAGTCAGGATTGAACCCGGCCTAGTTTTGAGTGAATTTTTTGTTTGATAAAGAATAAGACCTGTATGCCAAAATTTGGCTACTAAGCAAGCTCTATATTGGACCACCTCTCCCTTGGTGCAGAATAGAATTGGTTTATGATAAAATTGGATGAGGACTAGTCCTGACCCGGTTTAATTTGGGTTCCGCAACCATTCAACTCTCTCATCACCGCTACATTCTCTTCTACTGTTGTTGTACTAAAACTCCAAAGTTGCGAATCTGTCTCTGCGAGTTGAGTGTTCTTTCAACGGATCGAAACATGCACTGTTGTATATAGGCAATAACTTCTTTAAACCCATGCTTAAATACAATTGGATTTAGATTGCTCTGGTAAACTGACATCGATAGCCTCATACCCAAAATATGCCTTTTAAACAATTCTCATGAGTGGCCCAGGGTTTCGTTAGAATTGGTATCTATTCATGATAATGCAACATAATATTAAAAAAGATTCCGTCCATGCGAGTAAGGGCCAAAACGCACGCATTCTATCTACTTGAATCTTGCCTTAGAGTGAGAACTTAATTAGAGGAAAACAAGAAAGATATGTTGTTCCTGAATTAAACATCAATTAATCTTTTCTTCTCGTCAGCGTAAGGCTTGTAGGATGTTGTCGTTTGTGGCAGTTATCATATATGTAACCATAAATAGGCCAACCCTAGACTGAAAAAAAAATGTTTAATATTTTTTCCCCTACTATTTACTCCCCAAGTTAATATTTGCATCATAGAACTTTTTCCTGTCCTTAATTGACTAATGAGGCCTGAAATTTCTTGGGTGAGTCTTATTGGATGAGCCGTGGCCACACTAATTACAAATGTAAGATATATTTATGACGGCTGCGTTCCAGTTGAACTACTATGATATTTGGACCACTTGAAGTTAGGTTAGTATTTCAAGAGAATCAGAGCATGTTTTAGAACTTTGTTGGATTATAATTCATTTAGATTATAATCCACAAATAGATTATAATTCAAGTATATTATTATTTAGATGGATTACAATCTATAGTGTTTAGTAAATTTTGTGGATTATAATCTATTTTCAATAATAGTGTTTGACGAATAGGTCAATTATAGTCCATCATTGTTGTCGAAAAATGCTCAAAATGAACATGGGATGAGTGGTGAGTAATTAAATGAGGCTTTGCATTTTGTGAAATCGTAAGGGGTAAAATTGTCTTTTACTTAGTCAAACTCCATGGCTCATAACCCAACAAAAAAACAAAGTAGGGTATCCTAGCTCATTTTTTGATGGATTATAAGCCAATAAAAGTCATTTGTCAAGCATTTCAAGGAGTACGTCTTATAGTCCACAACAGAGGCTTGTCAGCCACTTTGACCATTTGACAAGCATGCTCTAAAATTTTTAGTTAATTATTGTTAGGCCCCCTTTAATATCACTCAATCGTGCGTAGACCCTCTGCAGTATTATTGCATATATGCCCCATGTACTATTGCCCGTTTGCAGATAGAACCCTCAGTAAAAACTTTTTTTGACTCTTTAACCTCATGGGGTTTTTTTTTTTCAAAAAAACAATTTTCTCTCTCTTTGAGAATAAATTAAAGAGCCAAAAAATTTTACATACAATCTATCTAAAGTAATAGAATTATTGCGGGTCTGTTAGCAATTGAGCGATAATAAGGGCTCAATTCTCAATTAACCCTAAAAAAGTTTATCTTTTATTTTTAATTATTATCTGAGGGGAAATATAGAAGGCAAGAAGCACAACTGAAAATGACCATCTCATGTACTAGATGGTGAACCAACAATATATTGGGTTATTGGATCGGATCTAAGTTATTTTAAATATATCCACCTTATACGAAGGAAAACAATGAAAATCGATAGGATGAGGAAAGAAAATAAACTTACTATTGGCTGGATGTAATGTGTTTGTGAATTTTGGTGCACCTTCTAGTTATGTGACATTTTATCTTTTGCAATATTGTAGTTCTCACAGAGTCAAATAATAGGCCACCAGTTTGTGGATGCAATCTTACTGTGGCCTCTTTCTCTTGAGCAAGTCATGAGAAGAGCCTCTAAAAAGAGTAGAATTTTGAAGAAGGATCAGATGAAACTTGCACTAAAAAGAATATGACAAAGTGAAAGAATAAAAGAGAGACTTAATATATGTCCCAAAGATACTTATAATAAAGTCAATTGGAAGCATTAATAAGTTTGTTACTTGAGGCTGGTTCACATGGATCCATAAGCAAAGCAGCTTTGGTTCTCTTATTTAGTTATCTTTTCCCTCCCTTTTCTTTGGCAGTTATAAATAGAGCAAAGCTGATCTCAGTACAACGCAAAGCTATGTTGACTTTCATACATTACAGAAACAAATAAAGAAAACTTTGTTGGAAGCAGGACTCCAAAGTCAAATGAAATCCAATAGTATCCTGAAGATCAAACTTTAAGATACTATTACCACCAACATGCATAAAATGAGACCAAAATGAAAGAAGCATCTGAATACACAGCTTCCTAGCCCCAATATACAATCTTACCTTATGTTCAACGTTTCCCATCTCATAACTGAAACAACCCAATATAAAGTTTGCTACTGCACTAGCGATTTGCAAAAAAAAAATTGCAGCTCCTATTTACAACTGCAATTATCAAACAGAACAATTCGATCGCAAGTTGCAATTGGGGTTTTCGTGAAAAAAGTGTTACTTTTCCAACTCCTATCATTAAAAAAAATTACACTGGCAACGAAATAAACAGATACAAATTGCAATTACCTTTACGAATTGCTAGTCATAGTACCATTTACACCAGAAATCACATTCAGAATGGAGAATGACTAATTTTAAACCGCCAAGCAGTAATAGTTGTACTAGTAGAAGTCTACAGAGAGTGATTAAAATTATCATTCGACAATCCAATCACAAAAAAAAATCAGCGAAATCACGGAGTTCCACTAATTTAGACGATCACAGATTGTAACACAAGCCACTACTGCCAAGAGAGAGCATGGAAATTTGCATCAGAATTCTCAGAAGTAAACATAGCTCCAACATGCTCATTTCCCATCTCAGAGTATAAAAACTCAGTAGGAGAAACATTATTAGAAGAGCTGGAACCAAAAGCCCAGCCATTGACAGGAGCCAGAGGCTGATGGCTAGGATTATTATTAATATACGAAGAGCGAGCTTCTGGAGTTGACAGAAGAGAGAGAGCACCATCAGAATCCAACATTCTGATTGTCTTATTAAGCAGAGGCTGATGATGTTCTTGGGCATTGTCTTGCAAGAAAGGAAATTTCTTCCGGTCTTTATAGATGCCATTTGATGAGATAGGGAAGTGCGAGTAGTTTTGGTGATTCTGCGGAACTTCCTCAGCTTTGATGATTGGAGCCCAGTTGGATTTGTATGAAGTGAACCCTTTTCAGATAAAGTGTATATACAAAGTAAGAAAAATATGAAGTTATTCAAAATTTGAAATTAATGAGGTTACGCTTCTGGGAGGGAGGGAAAGGGTCAAAAAACTGTAAGGATCGAGTTCAGAAAGAAAAAATTCACAATTTACCATCATAGTCAGTTTGCCACTTCTCTTATGATAGAATGTATTGTCATTAGTTTCACACATGATAAGATTTTGTGGGGAAAAAAGATCCCTTTTTGTAAGGAGAGGTCTTGTTACATATCTGAGAAATTCCAGCAGAATATGGCGATTGGCATTGTTGTAATTAAAAATGTTACATGAACACAGTTGAATTCATTTTCTTCTGAAAAGCAACATTTGTGAATCCTTTTGCCTTGAGACTACAAAAGGAGAGTTGATACCATGGGCTCTCAAACAAAACACTAGGAATTCAACTGTTCAACTTCTAGAGTTAGTTTATAATCCAGAAGATGATACTGATTGTATCCAATTAATGCATTACATTTACCGCAATAAAATTTTTATGCTATAAATTGATTTTGGAGCAGCATATTTTACAGTCAGACTTTCTATCAGGTCCTGATCTAGCTTTATCCATCAGTGTTAGCATTGACAATATTCTAGTTATTTAGTAGTAGATATTATTTAATTGACCGAGAGGCAACATGAGAAGTTGAAAATACCAGTAAGAGTGATAAAACAAAACAAAACAAAAAAGGAATGTTGAGCACAAGGTGAAGAAAACCTTGGAGATTTGTCAAGAAGCTCTCGCGATTTAGGGAGCAAAGCTGAGGCTTCCTTCGACGCCTGTTATGCCCCTCTAGTCGTTTCCTACAGCTTCGTTTAACCTCATCAAATTCCAACAGTAAGTGAAATCTGTTCAAACAAATATTTAGACATAAGGTACGAACTTTAAATTGGAAGTGGATTAGCAAAGTGAACACATCATGTAGTTAGTATGAACATAAGAATATTGAGAATCTCATTAGTTTTCATAAAACAGTAATCGTTTTTTTGAAGTAAGGTTCCTGTTACAAAATCAGCTAATATCCTTTCAATTGTATACTTCTAGAGCTTGAACCACTACTAGCCAACACCTCCAATGCCCCTAATGATTTCTTTGAGAGTGCATATACACCCTTATTGAGGAAAAAGCAGTGTCATTGATTGATAAGGAACTTATTTGATCGGAAAACAAGGAGACGACAAAAAATGAGAAGATGTGGAGAAAAGAAAAACAAAGAGAGATGATTTTATGTCATTGTCAACTGAAATAACACTGATAGAGGCAATTCAATTTGAAGACAACTCAATATATGGGTTAGGAAGATATAAACCATCTATTGGTTATCTGCGACTGCTAAAATTCTGGGCTCTTTATATATTCTGTCTTTGCAGAAAATAAAGATTCTTTGTGTAAACCCAAAATAATAATAATAATAATAATAATAATAATAATAATATCAGTATCAGGATGAGTATCTTTACGATCTGGATTGCATGGACTCCTCAAACTTTAGGCTAGTTACAGGATTGAACATTTGCAGCATTGCACAGGGTTTTGAAGAATAGATGTTAACTAGTATGAACACCGTGCAAAGCACGGCATATTTTTCCCGCTATAGTAATTTCGGTTTTTAACTGATACAGATTTTTTTTTTTTTGAATTACTAAAGTATCCCGGCTCTGGTACAGTATTCTCGTGTGCTACAGCAACATTTTCAAAAATTCAGCTCTATATTAGCTACAGTAATTGTTACTGAGCGTTTACTATAGCATGAATAGTGAATCTTTGGTTCTCCTATTTGTATAGAGGAATAGATCTGGAACTAATGAATTTTTCCTAAGATATTTTTAATCTTCCTCTTCCAAAGTTAGACTATGAACTTTTCTTCAAGCATTCATGTGTACCACTTTGGTCCTCACCATTCACAAGTTCAACTATGCCACACATGCTTTGTCTATGATGGACTTCTCCCAGGATTGAGCTTTCCATATTCCACAAGATTCAGATGAACGGAAGAATAGATGCCATTAACTCGTGAGTTTGGACTAGATAACTTTTCCTGAGAGATTGTAATCTACTTGACCCAAAACTGAAACTATTGTGTTTATTTTTTTGATGAGCCCAACTATGTTAGTCAGGTAAATATACTGTTTCACCTGTTTTCATTAATGAATCCTATTAATGTAAATAAAAGTAATAAACTTTTAACATATAAATTTTCAGATATCGAACTTATCAAGACACTGAAATGACTTTATGCTTCTCTGGGTAAACAAAATCACACTTAAGACTCCAGTATAGCCAGATAGGTCAATGATCCAATATTTATACTGAAGAATTAATCAGGAATTATGTTCAGCATGTTCAGGTGGAGCTTATCTTATTCATAATAATTCTATCTATGTCTTTTCACAAGCATGCAAGATGATTATCTCTGTAGAAGAGTTTCAGAATAGGTTAGTTGATTTCTTGTGGATATTCTTGATAACTTGGCAAATTTCCACACTTCCTGGCCACTGCCGCAGGCAAAACAACTAAGCATTGTAGATAGCCATGAGTCAAAAGGGAGCAGTACATTTTATCAATATATTTTATGTGACTACATCTTCCTCCCTACTGATATGTATCAGACTTTATTCAACTGGTTCAACGTTACACCATATAGGAGGATATTTTTACTGTTTGGAATAGATAAAACTTCCATTTAACAAGGTATTTTTACTATATAGACATATAAATATGAATATACTGCGGAAGCATTTCGGAAATCAAGATCACAAAGCAAGAACGCCAAAACACAAAAAGAATCAACGAGAGCAAAAACACAGTACAGAGAAATCCTACGTCCACAGGCAGAAGATAAATATTCACCAATTAGATTAAAGACTACACAGAAGAAATTCTCAAATCTCAAGAAACCCTCTCTACAGATGATAGAAATCAACCTCTCAAGATCTATTTTTCTATCTCAGATCTATGTTTCTACTCTCTGTAGTTTCATCTCGATCAAGACAGCTGGAAACCCCTCTATTTATGGCCTAGTTTTCTAATACCGATCCCCACAAAAACCCTAACCAAGTTCAGAACTTCCCGTATGGAAAGGAGTCCAAAACAGAGTTTTTTACGGAAAAAAAATCTCCAGCGGATCAATAGACATTTATGTGCCCCGTCTACACACAATGCTCTGAAGACCCGAGCAAAATAGACACCAAATAGCACCACCTAGGAAGTTGTTTTTTCAGCTCCAAAGATAATAGACGTATACCTATAGGCATCTACCTATAGACATCTATCACTGATACTTGAACTGTTTTGACTTCTTCTTTGTTCTTTATTAGGGGGAAAAACCTAATGGAGGAGGATTCAAGACAATTCTCAACAAATACACAAGGAGTTCAAAAAAAGGTGGATATCATGAGAAAAAGCATGTTTGACCAATCCCAATGAAGAGAAACCTAAATAACTAACTAAAGGCATAAAAAATGTTGAAGATATGGCTCGCGTGTATCTGTGACAACAGAGCATAAGCGTTCGAATTGGTAGACTTGTCAAGTAGTCTGAGTCAAGATAGTGATGCACGTTGTTGGAGGCACTCAACCAATAAACAAGGTTCACAGGGAGGGTAACTGGTCCCTACAAGCAATCAATCAATTTTTAGGTCCAAAATCAAGATTATGGCATGGTCAGTTACATAAGTTTCATGGTTTGGATGACCTCTACGGGCACAACCAAAATATATCTCCATTAAAGGGTTTAATTAGAATTTAAAACATGTACATGTAAAGGGTTGAGGGTTTTTCACCATAAGATGCCCTTATTGGGTTGTACAAAAGCCGACGGCTGTATGTACTTATGGAGGAGGATTCAAGACAATTCTCAACAAATACACAAGGAGTTCAAAGAAAGGTGGATACCATGAGAAAAGCATGTTTGACCAATCCCAATGAAGAGAAACCGCCCTTATTGGGGTTGTACAAAAGACGGAAGGCTGTATGTACTTACGAACACAACAACACATGTCTTGCTTCCTAATAACCCTAGATTATTATTCTTATTTACCTATACTTCTAATCATTGTTCTTTTTTTTTCTTGCAAATAATTTTATTGTCATAAACAAGGATCCTACAATGATTTTTTTTCCTAAGGATACCTAAGCATAAGAAATTAATGGCAAAGATTACAGGAATTTCAACCAATCAAATTCAAGATCATGAGTTGATGACTACCTTTTTGGCAAAGAAGATTGGAACATTCACAAGGTGTCACAAGGAAGAAATACAAAACTAGCAAGTAAGTGACAAAGATTGAGATGAGACGAATGGCATAAAAAGTCATGTACATAACTTCTGATTCTGAATGTGTTGAGAGTTATATTGTATTTGTAATGTGTTTAGTCTCACATTGCTTGTGGATTAATCCATTTGCTTCTCCCATATTATAAAATAAGTTCAAGAGGAGAGGGCTGATTATCCTCTTTGATTACCTAGTTAACATAGTAATAGTCAACCCTCTCCTCTTCAAAATAACCCTAACCCTAGCCCCTCCCGCCCGCCCAAACCCTAGCCCTACCCTACTGTC